ATTAAATTTAAAATATTATAAGACCCAAATCTATGATTTTTTTATAGAATCCGACTTGATCCGAAACATGAAATAAACTGAATTGAACTTAAATCTACTTAAATTTTAGCTAAATCAATATAGATCTACACGAAAGTAATCCAAACTAAAATAAAAGTAACTCTAATCAAAAGTAACATGAACCAAAATCAATCTGAACAAAAAAATAATTCAAATTCGATCTGAAACAAACATCAAAGTGAACGGTTAATTTATTTTTATTATTAATTTTTTAAGAAATGTGATAAATAATAAACTTAAAATTCAACTTTATACATACATACATACATACATACATACATACATACATACATTTAAAATTGTTTCAGTTTTTATGTTTTATATATGTATAATTATTTTATTATAAATTCGCTACTTTTAATCCATTTAGATTTCACATTTTAAAATTTCAGTATTAATTTAAAATGGCACAATGTTAAAAATGATTAAATGAATATGAATTAAATTTATAATTATTATATGATACAAAATTAATGATAAATTTTGTTTTAATAAATTTAATGACGTATTTTAAGTATAGATGGAAATTTTATATTTCAAATAATATAAGATTAAAAAGGACTAGATTCAAATATTATAAGGTCTAGATCAGCAACTTTTTTATACAATGTTTAATCTAGTAAAAATAAGTCCTCAAGCTGTATAATTTTTTTTATTTAGGTACTTAAATTATTTTTCAGTCAATCCAGGTGTCTAATGTTTCCAATTACACTTTTAGGTATTTAGACCGTTACTATCGTTAACTGAATCGCCTTTATAAAATTAAAAAAATTAAATAATCTTTTTAAAATCACCTTAGTGTGACACGTGTCACTTAACGACGAAATTTAATGTCCGTTACGACCAAAGCACCTAAAAATGTTACGTTGAAAACGTTAGACACCTGGATTGACCAAAAAAAAGTTTAGATGTAACATCCCAAAAAGCGGACTAGTGACCAAAATGCAAATTTTGAAAGTTTGATGGTCAAATTAAAAATTGGGAAAAGTTTAAAGACCTAAGTAGTATTTTCCCAAAAAGAATTTTATTCCATAAATGGATTTAATTAGTGACCGAATTATAAATATTTAAAGTTTTGTGACCAAAGTATAAAAATTTGAAAAAGTTTAGGGACCAAAATGATAATTTTAAAAAGTTACAAGTGGTCTCGAAAATAAGAAAATAAATATTTTATTTTCATATTTTTAAAATTTTGAAAAATAATAATTAATGGTTTAATTCCATGTTTAATTTGGACCATTTGATTAAAGTGGTAGGATTGTAATTTTTAGAAATTGCAAGGACAAAATGGTAAAGTGAAAAAATATTTTGTTCATTTTTGACTATTGGAAGATGATAAGGTTGAGATGTTTTGGAAGATGATAAGGTTGAGGTGTCTAGATTTAAAGGTAATTATGAAGTTTTATTGAGAGTAAATAGATATTTTTTCAATTTAATGAATTAAATATTCATTAAAGGATAATTTAAAGGCAGATAAGCATGTTGTTAATCTAAAATATCATGTCAAGTTGTTCATCAGCTCCTTCATTGCCGTGAGCTAGCTTGAAGGTAAGGAAAAATGTTTGTTTTCTATTTTTGAGTAATTTTATTTGGATTTCGGGTTATGCCGTGAAATAGAAAATTATTCTACGCGAAAAACGCTATCATTTGGTACCAATATTTCTTGCTAATCTTGTTAGATTTCAAAGATCCCAAATCTAAGGGTTTCTGTTCATGATAGGGTTCATCAAATTGATGATAAATCTTGATGATTTAGAGGTTGTAGATTCATTTTTCAAGCTTGATTTATGGTTAAACATGTTCAATCTTTTTAGAAATTATTCTTTAAAATTCGGTCAAAAGAGGAAATTGTAGAACATTGTGTTCTGATGAGAGTTGATTAGGGATTTGATTGTGTAGATGTTATAAGGTTGATTGAAAGTTGATTTCATGCTTGAATCGAATCAAAATCGAGCAAAATCATGAAAACATAGTTTTAAAGGATAAAGAATTCCACCATGATGTATTTGAGTGAGAAAAATTATGGAAAATTTATATAAGGTCTGGAAATGATGTAAGAAGTATTATACAAGTCTTAGAAAAATTTGAGGACTATTCTTTAATTTTTGAAAAGCTGAGGGACCAATTCAAAAATTTTGGAAAAGTTGTGAATGATTGTATAATTGTTTAATAGTTGATGTACTATACAGGAAATTGTTGTTTTGGAATTAAAATGAGCATTTAGATGTGAAATATGATCATTTTGGCAGTTTGAAAAGATTAGTGATTTAAGTGCAACATTCACATAGTTGGGGTGCTTAAATGTAATTGTACCTTTGTAAAAGTACTTGGTTGGTAATAATTTCAGTACGGAAAATTTTGGTATTTAAAATTTAACTAATAAAATGGTGAATGAACATTTTGTGTAAATTTGAAAAGTTTGTGCCAGTATTAAAAAGGATTATTAAGTATTTTGATAGAAAATAAGTTTCAAGTATATTATGGTTTTTGTTTTTGGGATGTGTTTATGTTAGTACAGTACTAACATATTTATTGTTATGAAATTGTAATTTGTACAGATCTTGATTAATTTGTGACTGAGACAAGATCATATGATAAAAGGGTTAATGATAGAGATCACGATAATGATGTTGATGTTGATAATGATGGTATATGTGCATGTATGCATTTTGGTATATGTGCATGTATGTATTTTGTTATATGAAATGTTCTATGGTTTCTATTATATATTTTATATGCCTCACTAAGTCAACGACTTAGCGTGTGATTGTTTCACACGTAGGTTCCGAGAAGGAGTAAAGTTAAGCAATATATGTCAGTTTCTCCTTTTCAAATATCAGATCAGAAAAGAATTGAATAGTACATATTTTGTAATATTGATTGTGGTTGGCATGTAAATAAATATTTGAATTTGATATGCTCTAATCGGTTTTATAAAATCATATGATTGTAATTAATATAAAATATTCAGTTTTCTTAATATGAAAAATTAAATTTTCAGTTATTTTGTAAAAATAAACATTTGAAAAGTCAATGTGACACCTCGAACTCGTATGGGTACAGGTTCGGGATGTTATATTAGACCCCTAAACAAAAAAAATAATATAGTTTAAATATCTATTTTTGCATTAAACCTTTAAACTATATAAACTTTCTATATTTTGGTCACTTTATTATTATTATTATTATTATTATTATTATTATTATTATTTTAGAAATTATATCTAATATTACTTTTTGATTCTATTTTAATTATTCATCGTTAAAAATTAATGACGATACTGACATGATATTTTTTAAAATATTTTTTTAATTTTGATGCAACATTATCTTATGGTGACATGTCAACTTCACTGTTATTTTTTAAAAAACGGATCTTCAACATAATTCCAAAATATAACTTTAGATATGATTTAAAAAATATGCATATTAAATTAAGGATAAATTAAATCCACAAACACGCTAAAGTATGCCTTTTCTCGGAAAGTATAATTCGTGTTAAAAGATCCGAGTAGGGTTCAATATGAACATAACTCCCCCACTATTCTTTTGTCGGTAGAAAAGTTGCTCAATCCACAAACACGCTGAAGTAGAAGACTTGGACTAATAATTTTGTTTTAGAAATAACATAACTTGCAATTATTTATTTTTTGATATTATAAATTAATATATATTTCAAGTTTTTCTTAATTATTAACCATACGTATAAAACTATTGAAACCGAATCTTTTAAAAAATCAATAAATTTTTTATCGTCAATATAACTGGTTGAATTTTAATATGAAGTGAGTCTATGCTTACGATGAGAGAGATAAAGTGCAAATATCGTTGTAATAACCTTTGTATGTTATATGTAACAAACACCGTATTTGGGGAAATAATAGTCTGAGTTCATTATTTTGGGAATTAAACATTCTCACATGCATTATCTCGGTAATTTTGCCATCTTAAGCGTAGTCTTCACGATCCATGTCTTGAAAAGGAGGATAAACAGTTTTCTTTTTTTAATTAATCACTGGTATTCGATCTATTAATCGACTAATCTAGATCGGGTACTGTAGAGGCGAGGGCGATCCTCTCAACCCAATTTGCTTCATTCCCAAATGCCAGATTCATAAACAGTTTAATTTGCAGTGTCGATAAATAGTAAACCTGCACTCGATTTTCATGGCAAATCCAAGAGTTCTGGACGTAAAACAATTGAGACATTGCAATGGACTCTGTTATATTAAAAAATATTTAAAATTACAGTAACTATTTATAATTATAATCATAAATTTATTATGTAATTAAGATATTTTTCTATAGTCATTGACTCAAGAAATTAGTCGATTAAGATCATACAATGATCGTATAAGAAAAATATTAAAAATCTAATAAAAAATTCAAAGAAAATATAGATACCAATAGACTTGACTGCATCGTCAAACGAACCATTAAATGGATCAAATTGTTACAATACCTTCGATAGACTCTAAATTAGAGTCGTAAGATGTGAGAAAACTATCTACGAAAGCAAATCGGCTATCTAAATCTAATATGCTGGTCTAAAACAAAGAAGATCAACAGGATAATAAATAAGTATCATATTGATTGATCGAGGTGATGCCAAATTTAATCCTAAAAAAAAGAGAAACGAAAACAATGATCAAACTATCAATAATGAAAATAAAAAATGTCAAACTACAAAAGAAAAATTATATCATAAAAACATAATTATAAACTAACGTAAAATGAATTTATATTTATGATGAAAGAAATAATATAATAGGACGTGCAATATCATTGTAATAATAAAAGACTCTTACGCGTAGTCTTCACGATCTGTCTTGAAGAGGAGGATAAACAGTTTAATTTGCAGTGTCAATAAATAGTAAATCTTCACTCAATTTTCATGGCAAATCCAAGAGTTTTGGACGTAAAACAATTTAGTCATTGCTATGGACTCAGCTTTTCAGCTGACCCTGCTTCATTTACTCGTACTATTTTCTCTTGTTTGTGGGGCAAAGCCTTTGTGTCTCCCAGATGAGCGCACAGCCTTGTTGCAGTTCAAGCAAAGCTTTATCATCCATGAGTCTGCCTCTACCAGTCCATATGCCTATCCGAAAACCCAATCCTGGAAACAAAGTGGCGGTGATTGCTGTTCATGGAACGGGGTGGCGTGCGACAACAACACCGGTCATGTAATCGGCCTCAACCTCATCAGCAGTTATCTTTACGGTTCAATCAATTCCAGCACCACCCTCTTCCGTCTTGCTCACCTTCGAAGCCTTAATCTTGCGGACAATTCGTTCATTTACTCCGAGATTCCTTCAGGGATTAGGAACCTCTCGAGGCTGACATTACTTGACCTCTCTTACTCCCATTTATCCGGTCAGGTTCCTTGGGAAATCCTGGAGCTGTCGATGTTGGAGGTTCTTGATCTGTCGGGGAACTCACTGAAGCTTTGGAAGCCAGGCTTCAGGTCCCTGCTTCACAAGTTATCCAATCTGAAAGAACTTTATCTGGCCGATGTCAAAATTTCATCCTCCGTGCCGAGTCTCCTAGCAAATTTTTCTTCACTGACAGTTTTAAATCTATCCAACTGTGAGTTGCGTGGTGAGTTTCCCACCGGGATTTTTGAGTTACCGAGTCTGGCGTTTCTCAGCCTGGAATTGAATCAGGAGCTTAGTGGAACTTTACCTGATAAAGTTCCCGAAAATCACCCTCTTTTGATATTAAGCTTAGCAAGCACTAGCTTTTCTGGACAACTGCCAGAGTCAATTGGAAACTTCAGCTCCATGGAGCACTTGGACATCAGCAACTGTCGGTTATCAGGGAAGCTGCCATATTCAATCGGTAACCTTACTCAACTCAAGCATCTTGATTTGTTTTCAAACAATTTCTCAGGGCCTATTCCTTCTTCTATTGGGAACCTGAATCAACTGGAGTTTTTGGAATTCTCTGAAAATAAATTTTCCGGGCAGATCCCTTCTTCTTTGGCTAATCTTACTCTGCTTGATTATCTGTCCCTTGCCGCCAACAGTTTCGACCAGGGAAACTTGTCCTGGATTGGTACTCAAACCAAGCTCACATACTTGGACTTGTCAAGCACCAATTTAACTGCTCAAATCCCATCGTCTCTCCAAAATTTGACCCAAATCACTTATTTGTATCTCTCGTCCAATAAACTAAATGGCCGGATTCCACCTAGGATTGGAAGTCTCACCAAGCTAATCGAGATCAAATTCTATGAAAATAATTTGAGTGGTCCTATTCCATATTCAATCTTCAAGCTACGAAATCTTGAGCTTCTTTATCTACACGCAAACCAACTAAATGGAGCTCTCAATTTGCAGTCATTTCTTGAGCTTAAAAAACTCACCAGACTCGAACTATCGGGTAACAATTTGTCCTTACTGACCAACGTCAGCAACAATGTTGTTCCTCCAAAGTTCAAGCTTCTAGGACTGTCTTCGTGCAACTTAACTGAGTTCCCTAGTTTTTTGCGTGGTCAAGATGAGTTGGAGATTTTGAAACTCGCTGACAACAAAATTCATGGCCAAATCCCATCTTGGTTCTGGGGAGTGGGAGAGCAAACTCTCCAGTACTTGGATTTGGGGTTGAATTCCCTGACAGGATTTCAAAACCTTCCTGCCGTTCTTCCATGGACTAGCTTAACGGATTTCAATCTTGAATTCAACATGTTGAAAGGATCACTTCCCCGTCCACCGCCTTCTATCAGCTCCTACAGAGTCGCAAATAACCACTTGTCCGGAGAAATCCCACCAATTTTCTGCAATCTTTCTTCCATTTTGGTTTTGGATTTGTCCAATAACAACATGACTGGGATGTTGCCGCCATGCCTAGCCAGTTTGGCTGAATCTCTTGAAGTTCTCAACCTTCAAAGTAATCACTTCACCGGTACAATTCCTCCGACATATCCGAAGAACTGCTGGTTGGCGATGATGGATATAAGCCGAAATCAGTTGCAAGGGAGAATTCCGAGATCACTAGCCCACTGTAATCAGTTAGAAGAACTAATTCTTGGGAACAATCTGATCAATGATAGCTTTCCTTATTGGTTGGGTGGCCTTCCAAAACTTAAGGTTCTCTCATTGAGATCAAACAGATTGCATGGCGTGATAGGGAAACCTCAGACCAAATCGGACTTCTCGAAGTTGCAAGTAATCGACCTATCCAACAATCGTTTAACGGGTAAGCTGCCATTTGAGTACTTCAATGTTTGGAATGCCATGAAAATCGCCAATACCAGCAGCCTTTCGCAATACATGTTTGCAAATACAAGCTCCCAGAACAAAAATTACGCGTGGTATGCTTACTATAACTACACAGTGACATTGGCAAACAAAGGCAGGGACCTAAGATATGAGAAAGTTCCGGATTCCATCGCAGTTATTGATTTGTCGAGCAACGAGTTTGAAGGTGAAATCCCAGAATCCATTGGAGATTTGAAGTTGATTCGAATACTGAACTTTTCGAATAACAATCTCGCTGGTCGAGTTCCATTTTCTTTGGGGGAGATTTCGAACCTTGAATCTCTGGACATTTCTAGAAATAATCTACAAGGAAAAATTCCTCCTCAGCTATCCAAACTCAACTTCCTTGCAACCTTCAATGTATCATACAACCAGCTTGCAGGGCCAATACCTCAAGGAGCACAGTTTAATACATTTAACAACGATTCCTTTGAGGGAAATTCAGGATTGTGTGGCTACCCTTTGTCCAAAAAATGTGGGAATCCTGGGGTTCCATTTTCACCGGCTACTCCTTTGGCACCAGATGAAGATGAAGGAATGTGGAGAGTGATGAAGTTCGGGTGGACAATTGTGTTGACAGGATACGGAGCTGGACTGATAGTTGGAATCTCTCTTGGATGGATCTTTGACCCATGGAAATACGCCTGCTTCCGGAACGTCATCGGGAAGTGGGCACTGAGTAAAGGTTGGAATGGATCTAGGCGAGAAGGCTTCTCCTTGACTTCTGTTTGGAAAAAAGTTTCCCAGAACTAGCGAATTTACCAGCGCAGCTCAAGGTGTGAAATATGTTAGACATGCTTGCTTGTGTGTTTGTATGATTATAACTTCGTTATTTTCATTTTGTTAGATATTAAGATTCCAAGTTTATGCTTGTTGGATTAAACATTAGATTCTAATGAGACGGGTGACATCTTAAATTTGTTCTCCTGAAACCAGTTGACTTGATGAGGTAGTTAATATAAACTTACAAGATTTTTCCTTCAGTTTAGTGCAATAATTATAAATTGTTAATTACTGAAGATGGCTAAGTTAATAAAGACGAGAAGAAAACAAGAGTAGAGACAAACATTGAGCTGATTTTGAAACTGAAAATCCAGTCCATTATTAATAACATGATAAGCATTCTCATTCATTTAACACATGGTAACCGCAATTGCAAGGAAGCGGTAGAAGCAACCTTGCTACCTCAAATTAAAAGGAAAGACAACCATGAAAATGAAGAGAAACCTAAAACACTCGCGATGAAGTTAGTGTATGCTAATGGGGGGGTGGGGGGAATCTAATTTCTTTCCTCTGTTTGAGCCATGGAAGGAGAGACATGTGCCCCTCATGGTTTCCACTGGATGGTGGTTTCTGCAATCATGGAAGTCACAACATATGGATCCATGTTCGAAGCTGGCCTCCTGTCTTGAAATTCCCACTGTAGAAAAAAATGAAGATAGATTAAGCTTAAACATAATAACAGAGAAACATAAAAGAGTGTACAGTCGTTGCACCTGTCCAGGCATGACTTCTCCATTGATACCACTGATATTGATTCCAGCAAATAAACAAGCTTTGTAGTGAGAATCCACAATGTCATGGCCATAGGCTTTGTCCGCACCAACGCTACAATAATAAGGACCCTGTCCCCAAAGTATCCCGTCGAATATTAAAATATAATCTTCCAAATATTCGATATTATTTACATTATAGATGGACCGAATCAGCGTTACATTAGATTACTAAAGCAAGTTACATTAGCGATTAATATCATCCATCCTCTTGATGGCTTTCCAATATTGGTTTGCTTTTTTTATAATTGGATTGAAAGATATGACCAGTTGGTCTAGTGGGATGTAATATTAGGTCTCTTAAGCAAGGTCAGGGTTCAAATCCTGGCATTTGTGAATGCAGCAAACTGGGTTGGGAGAGTCGTCTCATCTCTGCAGTACCCAATCTAGATTAGTCGGTCAATAGATCAAATACCAGTGATTAATTCAAAAAAAAAAGAAGATGAAGAAGAAAAATATTTTTATTAAACTAAAAACCTAAAAACAAAAGAAAAGCCAGAACAAATTTTATACAGAATATTGTACATCTCTCAAGCTTCACCCCTAAGGGTATTTATAGTATTAAGTTAACCTAATGGAAATAAAATGAAATAAAATATTCAAACTCTTAATTCTAACAAACTAAAAATCCTAATTAAAAATTCTGTGCAAACTAAATTCCTAAAAAATAATAAAATATCAAAGGTTTAAATTCAATTATAACTTTAAAATTCCTAAAGAATTGTGGTTCGCCTTGCTTTCCTCCTTTGATCTTGTTACTTGGAATAATTAATCGGTTTGTGCTTGAATCGACCTTTGAATTTGAGTTGGCGCCGACTTTTCCCAAATAAGTAGAAAAATCTGTTTAATTCGACTTTTAATTGTTATTTCTTGAAAAATAGAGTCTTGTACAAATCTGAATCAAAACAGCCTAAATTAGACTATAAAAAGAGGTAACACGGTTTAATTAATAACAAAATATTAACCAAATAAAACACTGATCATGAATGTTATTGTCGATGAGTCGGCTTGATTATTAGTCCCTTGCCACAAACAGTTTCGACCAGGGGACCTTGAAAGAAAAAGGCAGGGACCTAAGATGATGAGAAAGTTCCGGATTCCATCTCGGTTATTAATTTCTCAAGCAGCGAGTTTGAAGGTGAAATCCCAGAAGCCAAAATTGGTGACTTGAAGCTGATTCATGTACTCAACTTTTCGAGTAACAATCTCAATGGCCATTTCCATTTATTTGGGAGAAATTCAGAACCTTGAATCTCTGGGAAAAGTTACTCCCCAGCTATCCAAACTTAACTTCCTTGAAACCTTCAACCTTTCTTAAATTCATTCTCTTGAAACCTGTTGGTTTTGATGAGGTAGTTAATATAAACTTACAAGAGTTTCCTTCATATTAGTGTATGTAATTATAAATTCTTAATCACTAATACGAAGGAAAGTCTTGTAAGTTAAGAAAGAGGAGAAGAAAGCAAGAGTAAAAGTGAAGACAGAGAGATTTAGTTGATTTTGAAACCGAAAATCCAGCCCATTATTAATAACATGATGAGCATTCTCATTTATTTAACACACGATAACCATAATTTCAAGGAAGCATCAGAAACAACCTTGCTACCTCAAAATTTAAAGGAAAGGCAACCATGAAAATGACGAGAAACCTAAAACACTCGACGATTAAATTAGTGTACCCTAATGGAGAAAAAAAACCAAGTCTTTCCTCTGTGCCATGGAAAGGAGAGACGGGCTTCAATGTACCCCTCATGGTTTCCACAGGATGGTGGTTTCCGCAATCATGGAAGTGACAACGAATGGATCCATGTTCGAAGCTGGCCTCCTGACTTCGAAATACCCTTTTCTGGCCTTCTCGGTGTCTCGGCCGACACGAATCGATGCCCCACGGTTCGCAACACCCTGTCCAAGAGTTGGAACATAAAAGAACATTGTATGAACATAACTCCCCCACTATTCTTTTGTCGGTAGAAAAGTTGCTCAATCCACAAACACGCTGAAGTAGAAGACTTGGACTAATAATTTTGTTTTAGAAATAACATAACTTGCAATTATTTATTTTTTGATATTATAAATTAATATATATTTCAAGTTTTTCTTAATTATTAACATTACGTATAAAACTATTGAAACCGAATCTTTTAAAAAATCAATAAATTTTTTATCGTCAATGTAACTGGTTGAATTTTAATATGAAGTGAATCTATGCTTACGATGAAAGAGATAAAGTGCAAATATCGTTGTAATAACCTTTGTATGTTATATGTAGCAAACACCGTATTTGGGAAAATAATAGTCTGAGTTCATTATTTTGGGAATTAAACATCCTCACATGCATTATCTCGGCAATTTTGCCCTCTTAAGCGTAATCTTCACGATCCATGTCTTGAAAAGGAGGATAAACAGTTTTCTTTTTTTAATTAATCACTGGTATCCGATCTATTGATCGACTAATCTAGATCGGGTACTGCAGAGGCGAGGCCGACCCTCCCAACCCAGTTTGCTTCATTCCCAAATGCCAGATTCATAAACAGTTTAATTTGCAGTGTCGATAAATAGTAAACCTGCACTCGATTTTCATGGCAAATCCAAGAGTTCCGGACGTAAAATAATTGAGACATTGCAATGGACTCAGTTATATTAAAAAATATTTAAAATTACAGTAACTATTTATAATTATAATCATAAATTTATTATGTAATTAAGATATTTTTCTATAGTCATTGACTCAAGAAATTAGTCGATTAAGATCATACAATGATCGTATAAGAAAAATATTAAAAATCTAATAAAGAATTCGAAGAAAATATAGATACCAATAGACTTGACTGCATCGTCAAACGAACCATTAAATGGATCAAATTGCTACAATACCTTCGATAAACTCTAAATTAGAGTCGTAAGATGTGAGAAAACTATCTACGAAAGCAAATCGACTATCTAAATCTAATATGCTGGTCTAAAACAAAGAAGATCAACATGATAACAAAAGTATCATCTTGATTGATCGAGGTGATGCCAAATTCAATCCTAAAAAAAAAAGCGAAAACAATGATCAAACGATCAATACTGAAAATAAAAAATGTCAAACTACAAAAGAAAAATTATATCATAAAAACATAATTATAAACTAACGTAAAATGAATTTATATTTATGATGAAAGAAATAATATAATAGGACGTGCAATATCATTGTAATAATTAAAGACTCTTACGCGTAGTCTTCACGATCTGTCTTGAAGAGGAGGATAAACAGTTTAATTTGCAGTGTCAATAAATAGTAAATCTTCACTCAATTTTCATGGCAAATCCAAGAGTTTTGGACGTAAAACAATTTAGTCATTGCTATGGACTCAGCTTTTCAGCTGACCCTGCTTCATTTACTCGTACTGTTTTCTCTTGTTTGTGGGGCAAAGCCTTTGTGTCTCCCAGATGAGCGCACAGCCTTGTTGCAGTTCAAGCAAAGCTTTATCATCCATGAGTCTGCCTCTACCAGTCCATATGCCTATCCGAAAACCCAATCCTGGAAACAAAGTGGCGGTGATTGCTGTTCATGGAACGGGGTGGCGTGCGACAACAACACCGGTCATGTAATCGGCCTCAACCTCAGCAGCAGTTATCTTTACGGTTCAATCAATTCCAGCACCACCCTCTTCCGTCTTGCTCACCTTCGAAGCCTTAATCTTGGGGACAATTCGTTCATTTACTCCGAGATTCCTTCAGGGATTAGGAACCTCTCGAGGCTGACATTACTTGACCTCTCTTACTCCCATTTATCCGGTCAGGTTCCTTGGGAAATCCTGGAGCTGTCGATGTTGGAGGTTCTTGATCTGTCGGGGAACTCACTGAAGCTTTGGAAGCCAGGCTTCAGGTCCCTGCTTCACAAGTTATCCAATCTGAAAGAACTTTATCTGGCCGATGTCAAAATTTCATCCTCCGTGCCGAGTCTCCTAGCAAATTTTTCTTCACTGACGGTTTTAAATCTATCCAACTGTGAGTTGCGTGGTGAGTTTCCCACCGGGATTTTTGAGTTACCGAGTCTGGCGTTTCTCAGCCTGGAATTGAATCAGGAGCTTAGTGGAACTTTACCTGATAAAGTTCCCGAAAATCACCCTCTTTTGATATTAAGCTTAGCAAGCACTAGCTTTTCTGGACAACTGCCAGAGTCAATTGGAAACTTCAGCTCCATGGAGCACTTGGACATCAGCAACTGTCGGTTATCAGGGAAGCTGCCATATTCAATCGGTAACCTTACTCAACTCAAGCATCTTGATTTGTTTTCAAACAATTTCTCAGGGCCTATTCCTTCTTCTATTGGGAACCTGAATCAACTGGAGTTTTTGGAATTCTCTGAAAATAAATTTTCCGGGCAGATCCCTTCTTTGGCTAATCTTACTCTGCTTGATTATCTGTCCCTTGCCGCCAACAGTTTCGACCAGGGAAACTTGTCCTGGATTGGTACTCAAACCAAGCTCACATACTTGGACTTGTCAAGCCCCAATTTAACTGCTCAAATCCCATCGTCTCTCCAAAATTTGACCCAAATCACTTATTTGTATCTCTCGTCCAATAAACTAAATGGCCGGATTCCACCTAGGATTGGAAGTCTTACCAAGCTAATCGAGATCAAATTCTATGAAAATAATTTGAGTGGTCCTATTCCATATTCAATCTTCAAGCTACGAAATCTTGAGCTTCTTTATCTACACGCAAACCAACTAAATGGAGCTCTCAATTTGCAGTCATTTCTTGAGCTTAAAATCTCACCAGACTCGAACTATCGGGTAACAATTTGTCCTTACTGACCAACGTCAGCAACAATGTTGTTCCTCCAAAGTTCAAGCTTCTAGGACTGTCTTCGTGCAACTTAACTGAGTTCCCTAGTTTTTTGCGTGGTCAAGATGAGTTGGAGATTTTGAAACTCGCTGACAACAAAATTCATGGACAAATCCCATCTTGGTTCTGGGGAGTGGGAGAGCAAACTCTCCAGTACTTGGATTTGGGGTTGAATTCCCTGACAGGATTTCAAAACCTTCCTGCCGTTCTTCCATGGACTAGCTTAATACATTTCAATCTTGAATTCAACATGTTGAAAGGATCACTTCCCCGTCCACCGCCTTCCATCAGCTCCTACAGAGTCGCAAATAACCACTTGTCCGGAGAAATCCCACCAATTTTCTGCAATCTTTCTTCCATTTTGGTCTTGGATTTGTCCAATAACAACATGACTGGGATGTTGCCGCCATGCCTAGCCAGTTTGGCAGAATCTCTTGAAGTTCTCAACCTTCAAAGTAATCACTTCACTGGTGCAATTCCTCCGAAATATCCGAAGAACTGCAGGTTGAAGATGATGGATATAAGCCGAAATCAGTTGCAAGGGAGAATTCCGAGATCACTAGCCCACTGTAATCTGTTAGAAGAACTAATTCTTGGGAACAATCTGATCAATGATAGCTTTCCTTATTGGTTGGGTGGCCTTCCAAAACTTAAGGTTCTCTCATTGAGATCAAACAGATTGCATGGTGTGATAGGGAAACCTCAGACCAAATCGGACTTCTCGAAGTTGCAAGTAATCGACCTATCCAACAATCATTTAACGGGTAAGCTGCCATTTGAGTACTTCAATGTTTGGAATGCCATGAAAATCGCCAATACCAGCAGCCTTTCGCAATACATGTTTGCAAATACAAGCTCCCAGATCAAAAATTACGCGTGGTATGCTTACTATAACTACACAGTGACATTGTCAAACAAAGGCAGGGACCTAAGATATGAGAAAGTTCCGGACTTTCTCGCAGTTATTGATTTGTCGAGCAACGAGTTTGAAGGTGAAATCCCAGAATCCATTGGAGATCTGAAGTTGATTCGAATACTGAACTTTTCGAATAACAATCTCGGTGGACGAGTTCCATTTTCTTTGGGGGAGATATCGAACCTTGAATCTCTGGACATTTCTAGAAATAATCTACAAGGAAAAATTCCTCCTCAGCTATCCAAACTCAACTTCCTTGCAACCTTCAATGTATCATACAACCAGCTTGCAGGGCCAATACCTCAAGGAGCACAGTTTAATACATTTAACAACGATTCCTATGAGGGAAATTCAGGATTGTGTGGCTACCCTTTGTCCAAATGTGGGAATCCTGGGGTTCCTTTTCACCGGCTACTCCTTTGGCACCAGATGAAGATGAAGGAATGTGGAGAGTGATGAAGTTCGGGTGGACAATTGTGTTGACAGGATACGGAGCTGGACTGATAGTTGGAATCTCTCTTGGATGGATCTTTGACCCATGGAAATACGCCTGCTTCCGGAACGTCATCGGAAAGTGGGCACTGAGTAAAGGTTGGAATGGATCTAGGCGAGAAGGCTTCTCCTTGACTTCTGTTTGGAAAAAAGTTTCCCAGAACTAGCGAAGAATTTAGCAGCGCAGCTCAAGGTGTGAAATATGTTATACATGCTTGCTTGTGTGTTTGTATGATTATAACTTCGTTATTTTCATTTTGTTAGATATTAAGATTCCAATTTTATGCTTGTTGGATTAAACATTAGATTCTAATGAGACGGATGACATCTTAAATTTGTTCTCCTGAAACCAGTTGAGTTGATATAAACTTACAAGATTTTCCTTCAGTTTAGTGCAATAATTATAAATTGTTAATTACTAATTAGAAGATGGCTAAGTTAATAAAGACGAGAAGAAAACAAGAGTAAAAGTAAAGAAACATTTAGCTGATATTGAAACTGAAGATCCAGTCCATTATTAATAACATGATAAACATTCTCATTCATTTAACACATGATAACCGTAATTGCAAGGAAGCAGTAGAGGCAACCTCGCTACCTCAAAGTAAAAGGAAAGCCAACCATGAAAATGAAGAGAAACCTAAAACACTCGCGGTGAAATTAGTGTATGCTAATGGGGGGGGGGGGGAATCTAAGTTCTTTCCTCTGTTTGTGCCATGGAAGGAGAGACATGTGCCCCTCATGGTTTCCACAGGATGGTGGTTTCTGCAATCATGGAAGTCGCAACATATGGATCCATGTTCGAAGCTGGCCTCCTGTCTTCGAAATACCCTTTTCTGGCCTTCTCAGTGTCTCGGCCGACACGAATCGATGCCCCACGGTTTGCAACATCCTGTCCAAGAGTTGGAACATAAAAGAACATTGTATGAACATTTTGTGGAGATAGCAAACCACATAAACTGGAATTGTGCAAAGATGTTTTATCATATGAATTGTCAAAGGTGGTTTCGATTTCGTTACCAATAAGAAAGTCTTGATGCCGGCGGTCTCGTGAGACGCCGCTCATTGCCTTCTCCATAGGCAGCAATGTGTTCCCTGTGCCTTAGTCCAAGCTTTTCAATTGCTTTCTTGCTATCCTCGTAACCTCCATCACTTCTCATGGACTTTGTACTGAAACATCATATAACACAAGCACTTGATCAATCAGTTCTCCCATTAACTTTCCAAGACAGATTCAAATGGTACCTGTAATTGGTGTGAGCGTCGGCACCATTCCAATCTCCCTGGATTGGTTTGGGATCGAACGAGAGCACCACTCGAACAATCTCAGTAATCCTCTGTAATTCAGAAACAGAGATCAAACACTCGAATTGAGTAACAAAAGTTGATAAATCTTGACAAAAGCATGAAATGTAACGTGCCACCCACAATTCATCTCCGGCAGAGTTGCCGACTGCCGGACCAACTTGAAATTCCCACTGTAGAAAAAAACGAAGATAGATTAAACATAAAAGAGTGCATGATACAGTCGTTGCACCTGTCCAGGCATGACTTCTCCATTGATACCACTGATATTGATTCCAGCAAATAAACAAGCTTTGTAGTGAGAATCCACAATGTCACGGCCATAGGCTTTGTCCGCACCAACGCCACAATAATAAGGACCCTGTCCCCAAAGTATCCCGTCGAATATTAAAATATAATCTTCCAAATATTGGATATTATTAGCGTTATAGATGGACCGAATTAGAGTTACATTAGATTATTAAGAGCAACTCCAGCGCTGCGCTGGAGTTCAATCTTAACTTTGAAGACTTCAGCACTGCGCCACTTATCATCTCCACTTTGGCGTGGCTATAGTTTCACGCTACATCTAACGTGCAACTGTAGCTACGCTACAATTTTTTTTTGTTTGTTATTTTTTATGATTTTTTGTTTTGGTTGTTGTTTTTGTTTTTTTTTTACTTTTTCTTGTTATTTTCTTGTTATTTTCCTATTCTTTCTTATATTATTTTCTTTTATTCTATCTTTTATATTTTTTATTGTAATTTCTACACAATAAAATAAAAATTAAACATAATATAATATATTCAAGTAGATTAAATTACAAGATAGATAAAAATATATTGAAATTAGATAAATAAACATACTAATTTTTTTAAACATAAAAACTACAACAAACATAAAAACATAGAAAATACTAATAAAACTCAAACAACATTTTAACCAACAACCCAAACACAACAATTTAACTAATAATCAAACAGACCCCCTCCACTCCCTCCAAGATTATCAAAGTTCATTCTAAACACATTAAAAGTAGTAGACATTGACTATTCTTCTTCTTTTCGTTTTGAAGAAATTTTTGTTATTCGTCTAAAAAATAGTAGCGTCGTTCGGAGAATTAAAATATATAATTATATAATTTATGTTTTTCTCATTATTATTATGAATTGTAATTTTTTTATTTATTTGTATTTTCGCAATGTTATTTATGAATCTATGTGCCCCTCATGGTTTCCACATGATGGTGGTTTCCGCAATCATGGAAGTGACAACGTATGGATCCATGTTCGAAGCTGGCCTCCTGTCTTCGAAATACCCTTTTCCGGACTTCTCGGTGTCTCGGCCGACACGAATCGATGCCCCACGGTTCGCAACACCCTGTCCGAGAGTTGGAACATAAAAGAACATTGTATGAACATTTTGTGGAGATAGCAAACCACAGAAACAGGAATTGTGCAAAGATGTGTTATCATATGAATTGTAAAAGGTGGTTTCGATTTCTCTACCCATAAGAAAGTGTTGATGTCGGCGGTCTCGTGTCGACCGGTGAGACGGCGCTCGTTGCCTTCTCCATAGGCAGAAATGTGTTCCTTGTGCCTTAGCCCAAGCTTTTCAATTGCTGTCTTGATGACCTCGTAACCTCCATCACTTCTCATGGACTTTGTACTGAAACATCATATAACACAAGCACTTGATCAAATCAGTTCTCCGATTAACTTTCCAAGACAGATTCAAATGGTACCTGTAATTGGTGTGAGCGCCAGCACCATTCCAGTCTCCCTGAATTGGTTTGGGATCAAATGAGAGCACCACTCCAGCAATCTCAGTAATCCTCTGTAATTCAGAAACAGAGATCAAACACCAGAATTGAATTGAGTAACAAAAGTTGATAAATCTTATCAAGAGCATGCTAGATTACCTCCAAAATGTAACGTGCCACCCACAATTCATCTCCAGCAGAGATGCCGACTGCCGGACCAACTTGAAATTCCCACTGTAAGAAAAAAACGAAGATAGATTAAGCTTAAACATACTCAACAACTAAGAAACATAAAAGAGGGTATTATACAGTCGTTGCACCTGTCCTGGCATGACTTCTCCATTGATACCACTGATATTGATTCCAGCGAATAAACAAGATTTGTAGTGAGAATCCACAATGTCACGGCCATAGGCTTTGTCCGCACCAACGCCACAATAATAAGGACCCTGTACCAAAGTATGCCGTTGAATATTACGATATAATCTTCCATATATTCGATATTATTTACGATATAGATCAACTGAATCAGAGTTGCATTAGATTACTAAAGCAAGTTACATTAGCCTCCACTTGATGGCTTTCCAATATAAACTCTTTTAAAGGTTTGAATTTTTTTTTTAACAATTGGATTGAAAGAGAGGAGTACCTGAGGGCCAGGATAGCCACCGAGGGGCCATCCGAGGGGCCATTTAACATCTTTCTGCAACAAGGTTTACTCCTGCTCAATTCCATACCTGTTTCTCCCATATCGGATTCAAACCAAATCAACATTAAATGATTGGAAATAGTTTGAAAAAGATTTAACCCCCGTGAGGAATAGGAAAATACCAGGGTTCTTCAACCGCAACATCGGGATTGCTAAATATCTTTGCAGCGTTGCATCTCTTGTTTGTGGGGATAGGCTCACCGGCTGGTGTGTAAGCATCGCACATCACCTAATTCATTGGAGTTCAAAAAGTTCAATTCCTTGATATACACAAATCAGCACCATTTTTAGCCCCGAAATAGAAACACAACTTACAAGAATATTTTTACCCCTCCTGAATGGGTCTCTGAATATAGCTTGGGGACTAATATGAACAAAAATCAATCAGTATCTCAGAAGAAACAAAGAGAAAAGAAACACAAAGAGAAAACATACTATAAGATCACTTCACTATCTTCTCCTGGAGCTTGGCCAGTGCTGGAACCGTCATAGTTCCACTTGGGGAGCTTTGAAGGATCGGAAACAGGTCCAGAAAGGGTCTTCAAGTAACCTGTAGACACTCATTTTCGTCCATATTTAGTTTATTTTATTTTACTTTATACATATATATATATATATATATATCTATACATATATATTATATAGTTCGCAAAATGGTTTTTGAAAAATACATATATAATATATGTTTTAAAAAATACCTTTGAAAACTATATAATATATATTTTTAAAATCATTTTAAAATTTATATAATATATAATTTTAAAAAAAACATTTTTGAAAACATATAATATAGTTTTAAAACGTTTTTGAAAACTATAACATATAGTTTGAAAACATTTTTAAAATTATATAATATATAATTTTGGAAATATCTTTGAAATATATATTATATATAGTTTTAAAACGATTTTTTATATATATCATATCATATTATTTTGTTTTATTCTTTTTATTTTTTATTTATTTTTATTTTTGTTTTTATTATTTATTTAATCGTTTTTTGGTGTTTGTCCAGATCCAAGAATCCAGTCCAGTGCACAGGTCAGTTGGGTCTGACCCAGCCCGTAACCAACAGCCAAAGCAAGTTAGGTTTACTCGGCCAAGCATTGCGCCGCACGAGGGAGGAACAAGTCACGCACAGCCAGGCGAGAAAACCGGCCAAGATCCGGTCACGAAGCAACCAGCCCCGGCTAAATCGGGACTGATCTATCCCGTTTTTGCCGGTCAACCCACAACGGCCACCAGCCCCGTATTTCGAAACAGAAAAACGGCCGATGAAGGCCTATAAATACCAAACGGCCAACCCAGTACAAAAAAAGGAAACAAAAGGGGGGGAAGCCACGAACCCACAGTACCAACACATCAAACACGAGAGAGAACCACAAACGCAAGAACAACGAAACCAAGAACCATTTTCTGGAACCAAACATCATCAAGCCAAGATACCAACAAGAAAAAACATCATCAACGGTGAGGCCGAAGCCCCTCAGCAAACAAAAGCCACACACACAAAAATACAAAAAACAACAAAGAGCCGAGCAAAGCGAGAAGCAAGAACGCCGGGGAAGTGAAAGGCCTCGCCGGAAGATGTAAAGGCTGAGACTTTCGGTTTAGATCTACACCGATTGGCAAGGTTTTTGGGGTTTTGGGCTTCAGAATCGTGTTTAGAGGAGCATTTTGAGGGTAGGTTAGATTTTCCGGCCACCACCGCCGGTGGCCGGAGCGGCGGCGAGCGGTAGCCGGCGGGCGGATGTAGAGAGAAGCCAGAGAACCAGAGGTTCTCTCTTTTTGTAGAGAGAGTAAGCTATTGGTGAGAATGAAGAGAGTTAGGCCGTTTGGCCTTGGTATCATGTACTTATACAGGAGCCAAAACGGCGCAGTTTCACCTAGGGGTCTTCTGCGTATTTTTGCACATGGGTAAACTATTACAACGGTCTTGTAAGCTTTATCTCTTACGTTTTGGTCACTGGATTAAATCTTCAATACTTTTGATTTGAATTTCGAATTTGTTAATTTTACATATTAATCCTTTTATTTATTTATTTATTTATTTATTTATATATTCTGGTTTCTTTTTGTTAACTTTTATAGCAATTTTCATTTTTTTCTCTATTTATTTATTTCATTATTATTACTATATTTTTATATTTTCCCTATTTGACTTTCTCTTTTTTTTCTTTTTGATTTATTAGTTTAGTTTAGTGTTGTATTTTCAATTTTTTTCTACTAACATTTTTACCCCTTTTTTAGAAGAAGTTTGACCAATCAAAGGTAAGTAATTCGAATCGAATATTTTAAATTTTAATTTAAATTTCAATTTTCGCAATTAAAGACAACCGTCACATTAATTGGTACCGAAAGGGCGGTTCAAGGGTGTTAATCCTTCCTTGACTGTAACCGACTCCCGAACTCGACACGTTTCTGGTACAACGTAGATCAGGTAAGATGGTGTCCGATCTACCTAAAAATCATTTTAAAATGATCGGTGGCGACTCCAACCCAATAATTCAAGTCGAAGCCCAATTCTGGTCCCCAACCGAAAGACGGTTCCGACAGGTTGGCGACTCCGCTGGGGACAGGTAAGTAAGTCATGCCAGAATTAATTTTTCGGTTATCTTTTTATGCGAAAATAGTAATTTAAATTTAAATTTATTTATTCGATTCCAATTATTTACCTTTGATTATTTTTCAAATAAATAGTTGTACTGACGTTTTTTCAATGATTCTAGATTTTTCAAAGTTTTCATGTCATCTAAGGCTCTAAACCCGAGCTCCGAACCCGTTTTAAGTGGGGGTGAAAGCGACGCCTTCGTGTGAATTTATTCACCGTATGGGCCTAGCAAGTAGCCTTCGGGATTCATATACCTTATGTCTTCGTGTGAATTTATTCACCGTACGGGCATAAGGGAATGTGTCCTCTCGAGTTTAACTTAGTCCACACAAGCCTATGATGGGTTTAGGACTAAGGGTCTGGCAAGCCCAAGGGGGCACCAGCAAGGAGAACTCGAGTACCATTTTTAGAACCTAAACCGGGAGAGTGCAAGGAATTAGAGCCTGCCCCGAAATCTCATTCCAAACCCTAGGTTGCTTTGATTTTATTTCCTGCTTTACTTTCTGTTCAAAGCATGTGAACTAGAAATGTATGCGGTTAGGACTAGTTCAAAATTAACATGCGGGATAGAGATCATGTCCGGGTAGGAATCATAAGCATGTGGGGTAGATATCATGTGGGGTAGGACTTTTATTTTCATGATTGTTTTTTATTATTTTCACCTCACTAACCTTTTTCATTAATTGTTCTCTTTTGTTTTGTTTTCATCATTCGTATCATTTAAAAGAGGTGTTGATCCACCAAAAATGTGTTTGTTAAACATGAATAATATGCATTAATGGACAAAGGGATTGTAATACAAGAGATGAAAATGCATAGGACAAGGCGACTATGTGTCACATTCAATCCAGAAGATGTGGTGCCCACAATTGAAGAGTATATCACTCTGCTGCATTATAAAGGACTCAGAATGAACCGGGTCTACATCAAGCACAATGCAAGTCTATCTTTGAAGAACTGACTG